ATTATAGGCAACATCTAGAAATGTTAGTTATGCCTTAGCAGTATCCTGACGTATATAATTTTCTAAAAACGAGGTCAACTTTAGAATGTTTACCATCCCTACTATTCTGTCTCCAATTGTTCAAATAGTGACTTATTCCTTTGTAAAATCTCTACGGTTGGTTGAATGTAACAGAGCCAATAACTGTAGACCATCTTCATCAGATAGCTGAAATCACCAAACACTTAAGATACACAAATATCTTTATTGCATGTGGAAGGGTTGAGGCAAACATTATGATGTGGTAGACAGGGGCATATTTACCACAAGACAAACAAGGCATTTGCCTAGGGCGGCATTTTTTAGGAGGGCAGCACCCTGGAAGAAGGGACATATGCGGCATGGGAACCAGGTGGGATTCGAGAGAGGCTGTGGGCAGCTTGGTGTATGAAGAGCTCGATTGTCGTTCCCGGGGATGTCCAGAGCTGTGAAGGTGAGTGTCTTTCTCTCTGTTGACGTGGGTGTTAGTGGAAGGCTCTCTCGGTTGGGGGCAGGGGCATTGTTGATCACAGTCAAGCTCTCTCCGTGGTAGGTTCTGGTGTTGGTTGGTGTCAGGCTCTCTCTCTGATGGGGAGGCGGGGGTGTCTGATTTTTGTGTTGCCTAGGGCAGCACAAAATCTAAATACACCACTGGTGGTAGATGTTGGCATTTGCAGTGTTTGAAAGTCAAAAGGAATATTTTTCTCCTACCCTTAATGTGTATGCCTTGCAGGAACAATACAGGAACTCACAATGAGGAAGGAAGGAAGTTACATCATATAAGAAGGTGGATACACAGAAAACTGAATGTAATTACAATGACCATGGATGGCAGCATAAATATCAACAATGAACATAGTGAAACAACATGAGAAATAAACATAGACACAATTGCATTGCCCATATTGGAGGCAGCACATTTAGTATTTCTGCTATGGTTAGGTCTTAAATTTGTCCAACAGACTACATTACTGTGATTTCCATGCTAGCACGTGTCCTATACGTTTATGTTTAAAGTGGATGTAAACCTTAACCACTTTCTGGCAATGTACTGCGGACGGGCGGAAGCTACAGGACCAGCGAAGTACCCGTACGCCTTTTGCCAACATGGGGGGGCCCGAGCGGGCACGCAACCCTACCTCCCCATGTCTGCTGTGTCCAATGGACACAGCAGAATGACAACCTCAGTAATCACGACTTGGTGATCACGTGATCGTTATGCGATCACATGATCACAATGACAACAAAGCTTTTATGAATCAATCTGATTTATAAAAGCTTTGCTTCTGTTCCTGAAGAGCTGTGATTGGTCCACAGCTCTCACATGACACCTGAGCCAATCACAGATCACTATTATATTGAATTGTCATGTACTATCCTGGCATTTTAGGGCCTCTTAAACTGTGATAGGTAGTGAGGAAATGGGAGGAAATATGCTTTTTGAAAGTCTGGAGGTGGTCATTGGATTTTGGGGGCCAGTATGTGGCTAGGTTGCCAAAAAGTCTCTCACATGTGGTATCCCCATACTTGGGAGAAGTAGCAGGATGTGTTTTAGGGTCTTATTCCACATATACCCATGGCATGGCATGCAAGAGCAAAATATCATCTAACATACAACTTTGTGTAAAAACAAAAAATTGTGGCAAAAAATAAAAATGTTCTATGGAATCAACATGCCTCTCAGCAAGTTCCTTGGGGTATCTACTTTCCAAAAAAGGGCCATTTTGGGGGGTGTTTGTGCTGCCCTGGTATTTTAGCAGTTCAAGAAATGTGATAGGCAGTCAGAAAGTAAAAGCTGCATAAATTCCAATATATATATACACACTAGTTTTTAGATGCTATAACTTTTACACAAACCAATTAATATACATGTATTGGGATTTTTTTTACCAAAGACATAGCAGAATACATTTTAGCCTAAATTTATGACTAGCTTTGGGTTTACTACTGTATATATTTTTTATAAACGAAAGTAAAAAATATCTTTTTTTTTTTTCAAAATTTTCAGTCTTTTTTTGTTTATGTCACAAAAAAATAAAAACCCATTGGTGATCAAAAGAAAGATCTATTTGTGAGAAAAAAAAGGACATAAATGTGGTTTGGGTACAGCATTGCATGACTGGGCAATTACCAGTTGAAATAGCGCAGTGCTGAATGGCACAAAATGGCCTGGACAGGATGGGGGGTACATTTTCCAGAGGGCAAGTAGTTAAGAGGATGACTTTATTTTGCTACAGCACTGTATCATTAACCATCGCCAATGACGGAGTGACATTACTTAGAAGACAATTGCCACCTCATCACAGTAACGAAGGCCACAGATGGTTCAAATCTTGGCTGGTTCAACAGAGACCAGCCAAGATTTGAACCATATAAGGGCAGGCTGAATGTACCCAAGTTGATTGCTTGATAAATTTGGGTACAACCAGCCACCAGCCTGTCAGATTTTACATTATATTATTGCTAGCTGCTATTATAGCCACTATCACTAATCACTGGGTTGCAGCTCCTCCCAACACCCCCAACCCCCTCCCCCGCCCATCGGGAGAACACAATGGCTCCACAAAAGGGATTCCCCCATCAAAACAGACTGTGTTGATGGGGGAATCAAGTGATTTTCTTTCCTGTAAAATGTGGCCTGGTAAACCGAAGGGAGGGGTTTGCTCAATTGTCCCCCCCTTTCCTACCCTGCCAGCCCTGTGCGCTGATCAAGGGTCTGGTAGGAATTTATGGGGGACCCCATGCTTTTTTCCCCCTATTTTTGGTGGTGGGGCTCCTCTTAAAGTCCTACCAGGCCTAAAGGACCTGGTATAGCTTTTAGGGGGAACCAACGCACTTTTTTTCCCCCATTTTTTGGGAGACGGGGTTCCACTTAAAAGTCCTATCAGCCCTAAAGGGCCTGGTATGGCATTTAGGGGGAATCCCATGCACTTTTTTTTTTTTACTGTGGGGTCCCTCCTAACCTTCCTACCTGACCTAAAGGACCCCCACTGTTTCTTTATTTTAAATGTATTTTTTGTTTTTGTTTAACCATTTCCCGCCCGGCCTATAGTAATATGACTCTCATTAATTAATGTAGGACGAGGCATCTTTGTATCTGTTTGGGTAACAAGCACTTAAATGTTTCCACCCATAGTGATCTCATTTCCTCTCATTAACCATTTGTAGATTAGTGATTAGATGATCCAAAGAAGGAAATCCCCTCTGTACATAGAGACCCTGTCCAGGGAGGAGGCTCAGCCAACTTTATTATCAAACCCACTCTTCCACTTAGCAAAGGTTCTGGTTCTCTTATCTACCTACAGGTTTAGCACAATATCTGTTTAGGGAGGGCCATTTGTCATAACCCCCAAAAGAGGGCTACACGGGAAAAACCTGCTGCAAACTGTATTAATCCACTATTAGATAAATGGTGATGCTAGTGTTTCTTCTCCTATAACCTTGAATGTTCTATGGGCTAGAATAATGCTGTTAATGGTGCTGTTGGGCAATTGGCAGGCTTAAGGAGATCTTGTACATGCATACCTTTAAAATTAATTTCCACCTTTGCAGTCAAATTTGAGAAAGCCCCATTATATGTTTGTTATGTGTTCTCATTTACACAGAATGCCAAAAATTAATAAGTATGAGGGGATTTCAAGTCAAACAGAGACTTTTGAGTTTATATAATAAAAGAACAAATTTCAAGAAGTGGAAACTGCATTTATTTTTCAACATACTCCCCTGCTACATTTAAACACATCCCAGAGTTTAATGCCTGGAAAGCTTCGGCATAGAAAGATTTTTCAGTACACCTGAACCATCCTAAGACAGCCTGCTTCACTTCATCATCATTGTGTTCACTGTTCCCACAGAAAGATTCATCTCTTGTGCAATTTTATGACAGGTTATGCGTTGTTTATTCAGGATCAGGCGTTCCACGCGCTGAATGTTCACAGGAATGACTACTGTGCGCTGGGAACCACCACGGCGAGGATTGTCACTGACAGATGTACAGCAATCTTTGATATATTTACACCATTCAAATGTCCTACTGTGGCTGTGTGTCTCATCACCATACTGTGCTTAAAGTCTTCTGTAGATATCCGTGGGTTTTATAAAAACAAACAAGGGCACACTCTCATCGTGCATTACCGAGGTATAACGCGTAATTTATTAAATAAAAAGATGTATACTCACAAACCAACGTGATTATAGGCAGTAAAGGTGATCCACAAATACAGTCAAAAAGCAAACTGTGTCTAATGATGCGGATAAGCTGAATTAACTGACGCGTTTCGGGAGCTGAACCCCCTTCCTCAGAGCTTTACTGCCTATAATCACGTTGGTTTGTGAGTATACATCTTTTTATTTAATAAATTACGTGTTATACCTCGGTAATGCACGATGAGAGTGCGCCCTTGTTTGTTTTTATTTACCAGTGGTCAGATTTCCCTTTTCTTAGAAGGGCAGCACCTCTTCGGTTGGCATTTTGACAATTCCTTGGTTTGCATGAAGATTGGAGTGCTGGTTTAGTTTGTTTTTCTCTTGGAGTGCTATCCATGGGTTTTTTGCCTTTGTTCACAAGAAACTTCATCACCACATGCTGTTCCATGCACGCACCAACACTGTTGTCTCCCATGTCGATTAATGGTCTCTGGACTGGCCTGCAACTGTGCGCCTAGTAATAGGACACACTTCCTACTTACTACTACGTGTAGTAGCACCACACTAGCATCCCTTTTTATACCTGTAAAATTAAAAGTCCAGGTTTGACTTGAATGCCCCTCATAGATAAATATTAATAACCTTTTAGATGTTTCTCAGGACAAGGTGTCATGGGTGACTGCAAGCTTTTTTGAACAATATTAGACAGAGCCTGTCCCAAGTCTGTCCTCATTAACAGGTAATGCCAGAAGCCCATCAAATATTCGATTCGAGTCGAATATATTCGCTGTGAATTTAACTTAAAAAAGGGTTGTTTCTAGGCCTTCAGAGAGACTTAATATTAGTGCAGAACACTGTGTACCTTTAATTTAAAAAATGCCCTTGAGTCCCTGCTGGGGAAGAGAAATAATACTGTCAGTCAGTATGACATGCAGATGAAGTGCCGTCGATCTTAGAATCACCGCACACTTCACTCATTTGGCCAGTCACGGGGCCAAAACCAGTGTTTGGAGCCACAGTGTGGCGGTGGAGGCACATCAATGGGAGGCCATACAGCAACCTGATGTGGAAACCAGCAGGAGTGTGTGAGAACTCAAAGTGGGCGACATGGAAGAGTGGGAGCAATGGGAGGCCCGGTACAGGACCCATGTCACACTGTGACCCAGCAGCAGCGTGACCAGGCGGTACGGGGGCCCATGGCAGATTTGTGGGGCCCTGGCAGCACCTATGGGAGGCCTTGTAATCTGCAGCAAACCTATGACAAATGGAAAACAGCAGGAGTGTGACGGGACCTCAAAGTGGCACATGGCAGAGTGGGATGCAAAGGGAGGCGGTCCAGGGACCCATGTCACACTGTGGACCCAGCAGCAGCGTGACCAAGGCGGTACGGGGGCCCAATGGCAGATTTGGGGCCTGGCAGCAGCTATGGGTAGCCCTGTAATCTGCCAGCAACCCTATGAACAAAAAATGGAACACACCAGCGGAGTGTGTGAGGAGACCTCAAAAGTGGCCACCTGGCAGAAGTGTGGCGATGAGACAGCAGCAATGGGAGGCCTGTACAGGGGAACCCATGAGAGACTGTGGACCTGACAGCAGCTGTGAGGAGGCGGTAACACGGGGCCCATGGCAGATTAGAGGCCTGCAGCAGCATGGGAGGCCCGTTAATCTGCCAGCACCCTATGAAAAAAATGGAACACACCAGCAGTGTGTGAGAGATACCTGAAAAGTGGCACATGGCAGAGTGTGGCGAGGGAGACATCAGCAATGGGAGCCGTACACAAGGGACCCATGACAGACTCTGGACCTGGCAGCAGCAGAGGGAGGCGGTAAAGGGCCCATGGCAATTAGGGCCGGCAGCAGCTATGGGAGGCCGTAAACTGCCGACCCCATGTCAAAAAATTGAACCACCCGCAGTGTGAGGAGACCTGAAATGGCAATGGCGGTGTGGCGATGGGCAGCGCAATGGGAGGCCGTCGGGACCATGCAGATCGGATTGGCAGCAGCAGAGGGGGCATTTTAGGGGGCCCTGGAGATTTTGGGGCCTGGCAATTGGGGGGCCCCTAATCTGCCAGCACCCTATGTCAAAAAATTGAACACAACCCCATGTGAGGAGACCCGAAAATGGCACTGTTTGGGGGTGATTCATGGGATTTAGTCAGTTGTGTTGAACGGTGGGTTTTAAATCCCAAAAAACCAGCCTGATTCATTTTTACAAAAAGTGAGTCTCTCCACACTTTGGGTGGACAGTGTGTCCCCCCGGATTGCAATACCCCCTGCCGCCTTAACACCGCTCCCATGCCACCTTTGGCCGGGCATGACAGCCTTCAAGGGGAAAAATTTACTAGTTGGGGCCCAAAAGGTCAAGTTTCGTTCCCGTAGTCAAGGGGTTGTCTACCTGGTTGGGAGGGTGCGTCCAAGTAGGCCTAAGCCTGTTTTTTGAGGTCCTCTCCAGGTCCCCTGTGCTCTGCTGCTGCTGTGCTGCTGTGCTGCGGCGGTTTTTTTGTTTCTCACTGCGCTGGGAAAAAATACTCATCACGACTGCAATGAGGCGCTGCTGCGGTGGAGCTGCCCCTGCCCTACCCCCCAACCTCCCCCTGTGCCATGCAGCGTAAAGCGAGCGCACGGGGGCCCCAGTGTTGAGGATGGACGTTGGCGCGACAGGCAGAGACCAGCGACTACATAGGTGGTTTTTTAGTAGTTATTTTGGCTCCCTCCCCAGGTGTGAAAAAAGGGCCCCATTTGGAAAAAAGGGGCGAGGGTCCCCAAAA